AAAAAAAAAAAAAAAAAAAAAGTTGTTACGACTTCTTTTGTCCTTGTATTACTTATTCAAAGCTAGAACAGACTAGAACAGATAGTACAAACTCAATATAAACTATTTCCTTTAAAGCAAAATTGTTACCTGGGCCTGCATGCCTGTAATCCCAGCTGTGAGGGAGGCTGAGTTAGGGTTAGTATCACAAGTTCAACAGCAGTTTGGGCAATTTACCAAAGGTCCTTTTAGCAGCCATACTTTTTTTTCCTAGAGGGCGTTGATTTTCATCAACTTCCTTTGGGTTTGTCTCATAATCCTTTCTACTTTGCCTCAGGCTTTCTGAGTGAATGCTGCTATAAGTAGTGAAGTCTGTTGTTTAATTTTCTGTTGCTTCTGCTGGGCTTGACCTATTATTGTAAATTTTGAGTCATTTCTTCTAGCTGTGAAGTAAACATTCCTACAGTGCTATTCACTTTTGTAATTTCTTTATCAGGATCACTTTGGCTGAAAGTCATGTTTACCATTTTTTAACGAAATCCTGGAACCTTATGGTTGGTGTCCATATAGTATCAGCATTCCCAATAGATGCACCCCAAAGTTCTGGAGGATCTTCCTGAGGTGCTTTTTGTATATGTGGTGCAATGCATGTTTGGCAAGTACCCTGTAGCCCTTTTTATTTTTGAGACAATTTTGCAGAGTTGCCTAGGCTGGCCTCAGACTTGGGATCCTCCTTCCTCAGCCTCCTGAGTTGAGTTGCTGGGATTTTAGTTTGTGTACACCTAAGTCTGGCTCCTCCTGTGTCCCAATCCCCACCCCATACCAGGGATCTAACTCAGGACCTTGTGCTTGCAAGGTAGTATGGCACCACTGAACTAAATCCCCAGCCCCTCCTGTGGTTTTTGTTTAATCTCCTGGACTTTGTTAAGATTCTGCCAGGTATGGTGGCACACACCTGTAATCCCAGCACTCAGGAGGCTGAGGCAGGAGGATGGACAACAGTTCAAAGCCAGCCTAGGCTACATAGTTCAACAGCAGCCTGAACTACATAGCAAGACCCTTGCTCAAAAAAAAAAAGATACTTTACTTTAGGGATCCCATTTTGAACTCCTATAATTTTGAGATAAGGCAATCTATCATCTTCATCCCAATTGGGTTTTTTCACAGGGATTGCTGTGGTTGCCTCATTTGGCAGCTTGTATTAGATCCACTAGATGGAGTGGTTGGGCTTCCTTTCCTGCCTGCTCAACCATTCAGGGTTCTTCAGGCTTTGTTCATAAGAGCCTGAATATCAGCCAATGGGGGCAACAGAAAGCAAAAATGGAGACAAATCTTCCATAAGAGAGGAGTTTCCTGATATGAAGGACTATTATTTTTCCACTTAGTTAAATCAGAAGCTCAGACAGGGGACTACATTAAAATAGTTCCAGCTGGCTTTCCACTCATATTCAGTCCTCCAGTGGTAAACTAGCAATGTGTGTGTCTTCTGCCCTGGAACCCACAGTAACTGGCCCAGTTGGGTACCCTGATGGGTATGGGAGGGAATGACAATTTCAGATGTTTCCCCCACTTTGACGTGACTTTCTTTGCTGTTTACTCCCATAAGGGGCACTATGGCTACAGCTCCTATTGAGCTGTAGAAGAATCATTGATAGAGTTAGAGCATATAGTTTTCTTTTCTACCTTTCTCCTGTTCTGCTTAAGGAGGGACAGGCTTAGGCCTTAGGATTTTTGCCTATGGAAGCATTGAGTCAATCAGCGTGGATATTTCTGGTCGCTGCCAGGTATTTGGCAGTAAGCAAAGGGGCTGACGTGTGACTGCTGGGGATGTCCCCAGACAGACCACCAAACACAGAGAAGGAACAAATCAGCTTTAATTACCTGGCACCTTCAAGGAATTCAAATCGCCTCAAAAGCATTGAACAGAAGTTTACTCTCATTTTTATGTTTCTGTGGGAGGGGAAACAGCAACTATAGTTGCTGGGGAAATAGTCATCAATCTAAGCATAATTACATAAGCAGAGGGGCAGTGAATGGGGAGCAAGAGGTTTGGCAAGGCTTTCCAAGATCCTGCTCTAGTGAGTTGCATTATGGCCTGGCTATAGTTACAATATATCTTTTTCAACAAACATAGTTACAGTTAACCCATAGCTGCCTACTTTTGGACAGCTACCCCACTTTGGCCTGTTCATTTTGTAGTATGGAGCATATTGGTGACAAGAATGACTCAAGGAAATGTTGAGATTTTTAGAAACAGAAAAATGTCTCATAACCAGGCGATAAGGAGTGGATGTGTGCCCTCTGGCTCCACTCTAAGAACCCTACCAGTGGTAACACCCATCAACTGTTTATCCAGATCCCCTAGGTCAGCTTCCCTGCAAGATAGGCTTGTAATGAGTCCTCTATCTTCTTTAGCTGGCTTTTGGAATAAAATCACTTTCCTTGCCTCAACACCTTGTCTCATGACTTCCTTGGCCTGTCATGGTCATGATTTCCCAGTTGTGCTCAGCAGGTGCATTTTCACAAAGTAACATGATGGCTTATGACTCTCGTTGGCCTTTTTGCTTACAAAATTATTGTCAGATGGTATAACTTGGGGTCACATTTACAGGCATTTTTCTCCTAAGCAACACTGTGGGGTGGGATGGGGCTTGTTTCCTTCTCATAGGCTCATAACTTAAGTCCAATGCTGCAGGATAGAGCCTAATAGGCTGCAATCGAGAACCATATTGGAGCTGTGCATGGCACACAAAACATACCACACAAACACTGATTCCTGAAAGATCAAAAGGTGAAGTCCAACATTTCCTTACAATCCTTCCAAGGGTCGGTCCCTGTATCAAATTGCCCCTTAGGGCGCACTTAACGTGGAGCCCAAGAGAATTAAGATTTCTACAGCCTTGTGTGCTGAGGCAATTCACTGGACTGCTTCAAATTGCAGTGCACTGGGGCTGGGGATTTAGCTCAGTGGTTCCATCGCCTGCCTCACACGTGCATGGACTCGAGTTCAATCCCCAGTACCAAAAAAAAAAAAAAAAAAAAAAG